TGTAGTTTACTTTTTCTTTTATCATTCTTTTTTTTTTTTCTTGTGTTGTAATTCTTTTTCGTAAGAAGGAAAATTGGGATGATGGTAGTAAATAGTTTAGGCAGTCCAGTGTAATTGTAGTGTGGGTGCTGAATGAGAAATAATGTTGATCAATAATTAGTGTTTTAGTGCCTGTTGGTGAAAGTGTGTTTGTTGTATGTACTTTTTGGTGAAATGATGGTTGGTTGAGGAGTCATTTTTTGGAGTTCCTCCGAGTTTTAATGCCTTGCCACCTTTATTTTTGTATTTTTTTTATATTTATATTTATATTTTTATTGTTTATTTCTTTTAATGCCTTGCACCTGTTGTGCACTTTGTATGCATCATTGTTTGTGGTTGCTTTTGATTGTATCATTTGTATGATAACTTTTAAATAATTACGTTCCTAACAACAAAATCTATGTTCTCTCAAATTGGACCACTTTTGTGTTGAGAGAAATCACTTTTGTTTGCGGCTCGACTGCACGATTGGACCATTTTCGAGTTCTCCGGCATGATTTTCGACGGCTTATAAGTGGCGGCTCCCCTTCTCCCCCGGCATGGATGGTTTTTCGGAGTTCAGATCTGAATCGAGAGTAGACTCTTCATCAGATCCCACTAGGCGACACGAGTGGCTGCAGTTTTCGAGCTTGAAGTTCCGGTTTGCGACTTTGTTGGATCTCTATGCTAGTGGAAGCGGCTCGTGTGCTGTCTCGGGTGACCTGGAGTTAGGTCTGTTAGGTGTACAGGAGGTTCTGGTTTATTTTTATATTAGGTGTGAATTGTTTTTTCTTTTCTTGTGTTTTTGTTCGTTAAGTGCAGCTTTGTCTGCTTTTAGTGCAACTATGTCTGCTTTTCTCTCCTATATGGAGTTTGTGTCTCTTTTTTTGGAGTTTTGTGTTGTGGATGTTCGCCTCCTTGATGGAGTTTGTACCCCCTTGCGTGTGATGACAAGGGGGGTTGGTCCAGTCTTCTGGTTCCAGTGTGTCATTTGATACTTCGGATGTACTCTTTTGAGTTTTTAGTTATTAATATAATTT